AGAAGATTTCAGACAAGAAGAAATAATTGAAATTTGGTTGTTATTTATTGTTTTATATAACATTAATATGAAATATAAATTATGTTTTTTAATGAAATAAATAACAAATAATACCTACTGAAGTTGCACGACTGAAGATAGAAGGAAGGTACAAAATAATAACTAATTAATCGTTATCTGTTCTATTTAAAGAAATAAAAAGATTTGAAACTCAAGAAATAGAAAAAAATTGATAAACAGAAACAAAAAAAAAAGGAAAAATTTCAAAAAAGAAAAAAAAGTATTTGAGGTGGCAGTGATGAAATTTTGAACTACTTTTTAGAAGAAAAGGGTGATTAGATGTCAGCAACGCCTATTAATCCATTTGATTGTTCCCATGAACATAACTCTTTTGTCTCATCAAATGGATGGAACGAAGAAAAAACTAAGAAAGAAAAAAAGCCAAGGAACAATCAATTATACGATATTCAAGAGATGGAAAAGATGAGTTTAGAACAATTAGAACAAAAAATCAATGAGTTAAATGAATCTGGAAAAATGAGTATTCAAGACGAAGATTTGTTAAGAAAAATAAGAAGAAAAGTACAAAATAAGTGGTCTTCAAAGGAATATCGAAAAAGAAAAAAACGGAAATTAGAACAAATGACACAAGAATTAAACTTTTTAAAAGGAAAATGTGAAATCCTTGAAAATGAAAATGAAGAATTAAGAAGAAAGTTAAAAGAATTAAAAATTGCTTTTGATTAGTCTTTTTCTAATCATAAAAAAAAATATTTTTTAACATGTTTATTGTACTCAATTATCAATCTCTAAATGACTGTAATTAATCAATACTTGTTGGAATTTTTGAATTTATTTGTTATTATTTTTTTTTTGTTTTTGTATATTTTACTTCTCTTTTATTAACATTTTTGGTATTAATTTGTGTTATTTCTAAATCGTTAGAATGATTTGATATTGATTCTTCATTAAAAATAATGAAAAGTATTTTGTGTTAAGTATTAAATCTTTAATTTTTTTTTTATTAATGAAGAATTAAAAGATGACAAATCAAAACGAAAAGAAAACTCTATATAACGAATCTAAAAACTCTTAATTTCATCTCTATAAATTATGTCTTCTGAAACAACTCCAAATAATATATTAGTTACAAATATTGATCCTTCAGTTACTGTTGAAGCACTAACAACATTTTTCTCATTTACTGGAAATGTTACACAAGTTAGATTATCTGATTGTCCAGATGGAACTAAACAAGCAATCGTTTCCTTTGACTCACCAGAAAGTGTTAAAACTGCAGAGCTAATGACAGGAGCCACTCTTGAAAGTCGTAGAATCAATATCGAATCAACGTCTATGACAGAATCAAGTAGTCATGACCGTGTTTTTAAAGGAGAGGATTTACCAAATCGTTCAATTCCTGAACTTCCAAAGGAACACACAAAGACATCTGTTGCTGCTTCACTTCTTGCTCAAGGATATATATTAGCCAATGACACATTCCAAAAAGCTGTTCAATTTGATCGTGAACATAACATAACATCTTCTATCAAGTCAGGTGCAGAAAAAGTTAAACAAGCAGCAATTAATGTTGATGAAAATTATCATATTACTGAATATCTTGCACTTGGGGCTACTCTTGCTGTTAGTTATGTTGAAAATATTAATGATAAATATAAGGTTACAAAAACAATTTCCAACAAGGCACAAGAAGTTGATGAAGCTTTAAATATTAGCGGAGCAATTGGAACTGCTCGTCAACAAATAAATAATGGAATTGCTGCCGTCGTGACATCACAACCAGTTGTTTCTGTAAGAAATGCAGTAAATAATACTGTTTCAGGATTTGCACAAAACGTAAGTGATGAAATTGCAATTCAAAACAATATGCATAGAATTACTCAAGAACAAGTCAAGCCAGAAGAAACAACTCCTTTTGTGGTTGAAGAACAAGAAACAACACCTATAACTACTACCACCGAAGAAACCTTAAAACCTGAACTCCAACAAAATGAGTTAACAGTACCACCCATTGACAACGATGATATTGTTACTCTTGAAGATGATAATACCAACAAAGAACAGCAAAACCAAACAAAACAAGAGGCTTCTACATTAATTCTCTAATTAGTTTTATTATTTTATTTGATGTTTTGGTATTAATTTATAAAGTTAATATATAATACCATGTTTGCCACAATCATTTGAAGAAGGTACAATTTAATCATACAATATTGTAAGTTAGAGGTATAAAGGAGTATGATGTATTTTGAAAAAATTATATTTTTTTATTATGTTTATACTATACTTTAAATCAATTATTTTTATCTTTTTTTCTTTTATTAATAAAATATGAGATGCAATGTCTTTTTCCAATACAAGAAATACATCAAATTTTAATGATATGGATATTGAGTAATAACAATGCGTATGGCAAATAAAAGCAAATAAGTCATAGAAATACAATATCATACAATAGAATGAATGGAAATAGAAATAAATGGCATAACAATAACAATAATAATAATAATAACAATAATAATAATGGTAAATGAAATACAAAGGAAAAAGTGATTAGAAGATGAAATATACAAAGAAATA